CAGTTTGCTTAAAAATCTCTTATTAGGAATAATCATTTGACAGCTCACAGACTTCTAGAAAAGATCTAATGGTATAAGAAGTTTAAGCAATTGTTTTAAATTTTGTATTTGAATTTTATTTAATAATTTATTCTGAAGATTAAGAATTTATTTTTATCCTACTCTTTGAACACTATATCTTTATCCACCTCTATGATATTTATCATAGAATCTCATCTTTATCATCGTGTCCAGCATTTATTTAAAATGTCAGATCTGTGTTCAGTTGAAGTAATGGGAAAGCCTCTTGTTAAGGACATAAAATGGACTCTGATTTCTCTTGAATTTTGGGAGATGCTGACAGGGTACTGCTGCACGCATTTGACGGTCGACCGTCTGTAGCCATGGAGGGCGTCAGAGCTGGGTACTTCTTCTCGATTCCACCATCTATCATAAGGAGTGGACAGGTAGGTTCTTTCATTAAAATGTAGCTAACTGTTTGATATATAATTTAAAGTATAAGCTTTGACAGCGTACTTGTGATACTACTCTAGTTTCATTAAACAATTAATCTTAGGTCACTATCCCACACATATTAAATAAAAAATGTATCAAGGACCTAAATATAAGAGCTAAAATTAAAAAACTCTCAGAAGAAAACAGGTCTACATTTTTTGACCTGAGATTAGGTTTCCGAAATATGACACCAAAGCCCAAGCAGCCAAAGAAAACCATGGGTAAGCTGGGTATCATCTAAATTTAAAACTTCCACAGTTAAGAAAAAAAGACTTTGAGGGGCTGGGGATTTAGCTCAGTGGTTTCACCACCTACTGCACAAGCTCAAGGACCCGAGTTCGATCCCCAGTACCAAAAAAAGAGAGAGAAAAAGACTTTTATACTTTAGTACACACTATCAAAGCAAAAAGACAATCCACAGAAAGAGAAAAAAATATTTGGAAATCATGTACTCAATAAGGGTCAAATATCCAGAATATTATAAAGCACCATTACAATTCAACAATAAGAAAACAAATACATAACTTGATTAAAAATGGGCAAAGGATTTAAGTAGATACTTAAGAAAATAGGCTGGACATGGTGGCACATGCCCATAATTCCTGCACTTGGGAGGCTGAGGCAAGAGGATTGCCAGCCTGGGCTACATAGCGAGGCCCTGTCTCAAAATACCAAAAGAAGAAAAGAAACCATACAAATAGGCAATAAACACATAAAAAGATGTGCAACCTCATTTTCTGTTATGGAAATGCAGGTCAAAGGCATATTGAAGCCAGGAGTGGTAGCGCATGCCTGTAGTGTCAACACTCAGGAGGCTGAGGCAGGAGGACCACTGTGAGTTTGAGGCCGA